GCAGGACACAAGTCACCCGGAGCCGCCCCAACCCTGTCCTCTGGCTCCTTTGCCTTCCCATAATGCCCTGTGTCCAAGTCTAGCGTAGCACAATCTATATTGGGGTTCCTAATCTTTGTATGCCACAGTGAAATCCACTGAAGCTTGGGGACCCCTTCTCGCAACCTTTTTTAAACCAAAAAATGAAATACAAAGGAAACCACGTATACTGAAACACAGTTGTGAAGTGTTTTTAAAAGTGTGTGATAGAGTAAGAGAAACTTCTTTATTAAAGCATTAAGTAACAAGATCTAGCAGTGGGTCCGTGACTACCGTTAAAATAACAGCAAACAATATTTAGACACATCTGCAACAACTATAACATGATGTGAAGTGTGTGATTTCTACTGGTGACACACTTATAGGTAAACTAATATTGCTTGTTGCTTTCATTCGTAAGTGAAAGATATGCTATTTTTTAGTTTGAGGTTAGTGTAATTTTTTTCTTGTTCTGATTCATAACACCTGAATTCTATCTTCAGGTCCTCATGTTAAGAACTACTACTCTATGTCATACACAACTGACTTTTGTCTCTGTTTTCCTTAAAGATAGATACTATAAGTCACCTATCTCTGAATTTCTAGGGTCTAGAACTTGGCCACAAGTTTAAAAACGCAAACGTAATTCTTCTTTTTTTCTGATGGATTAAAGCATCGCAAAATTATACTATATTCCAGTGAACTCTTGTTTTCAGTTTGGGTATGGAAGCCAACAACCCGTACTTAAATGAACTACACTGCTAAATAACATACCTAATTCTATGCCAGGAAATGGCTGCGCAGACCACCACTTTACCTGTTATAATTTGGTTTCTCAATGTGTAAAAGAGATAGTAACTTCTAATGTCTCGCTCGACTCCAAAGTGATATCCATCCTCTTACTGCCTTTCTGAATATTACCAGAGAGTAACTGAGATCCGGGAATTAAACTTGTCCTGTCTGATCTACTCACGCACTGGTATGTCAATGTTACGCGAAGGGACCGAGTTTATCGGGCCAGGGGCGTGGTGCGGTGGGTGCCCGACTTGCTGTGTTCTCACCGTTAACCAAGCAGGCACTTCTCGTGTCATTACCAAGACTGACTGCAGATTCTGAAAAACTGTCTACTCTTCAAGAAGATCCCTCCTGACACTGAACGGAGAGACGCTAACACCGCCTGCCATCCTCCCGGTCACACTGCCGTGACAGGGGGCGACCACAACAGTGCTGTCGGATTCAACATACTGGGTTCCGCCGCCGTCCCGGCCCCGACCCGCACCTGAAGTTGGACCAGGCGAAGTGCAGGGAGAGCTGGAAGTTGGGGTCCGCCTCGTCCCGAAGGCCCGCCACGCTGCGGACGAGCTCGCGCACGTCCCGCTCCTGCTGCCTGTCCAGGCGGCTCCAGGACGGCCCCGAGCGCGCCATGTTCGCCGCCTCCCAGCGCCGGCTTCGAGATCGCGCCCGCTGTCGCGAGAGCTCGCGCTCCCGCCGCGCTGCTCTTGGGAGAGAGCTGAGGCCGCTCTCGCGAGAGCTCGCGCTGCTGCCGCGGTAGTGGCCGCCGCGTACGTCTTCCAGTCAGCCCTGGGCAAATACTTGGCCCCTCCTCAAAGACTTGGATGTCTTCGTTGATCAGACTAACATCGGCCTCTGGATAACCGGGGTTAATGGTTTAACTTCTGATGGTCGAGAGCAGCCGGTGGGCTCTCATTCAGGGCACCTATTCGCAGCCGCCCTTCCGAACGTCTTAGTCGCCCATCCTGCTCAAGCTTCAGCGTCTCTTTGCAGCGGTGACCTCTGAGGGTCTCTCATTCCACCCCTGTCCGCACAGTCCACACTACGTGCTCCTCACTACAGCAGGTGTCAGCAAAGCGGGTTGTCCACCGCATCGCTGAGTGCGGCGCCTTCTGCTGTCGCTGGTGTGGGACTCCCGGTGGCCAAAGTAGGACGTTATAAACCCTGTCGGCCAAGGGTGGAGGGGCGTATTCGTTGTTCCTAATTAAAACTGCACCTTTAAATTAACATTCTGTTAAATGGTGCCCATAACCATTCTGAAACCTATTACATAGACTTCGATTATTTTTTCTTTTAGAGAGTCACTAGGTTTTCACGTTTATTGCGTTGCATTACTTAGTAATGCGACCAGAGAAAAATCCTGAGACCCCGGTGTCCACACTGCGGGGAGGTGGAGGTGCT